GGTGCCTGTAGTTTTTATTGTTTATATCTTTAATTTTAATTTAGTTAGTTAGTTTAATCACCTTTTTAACTTCGTTATTTTTTTAAAATTTTAACTGATATAAGACACCGGACTGGGATGGGGTGAGATAGAAGAATTAAGATTAATAATAGCAGCAGAAGGTAGTAGAGATTTTAAGAACAAAGAATGAGAGTGTGATCCTTACCTTCACCAAGAGAAATGCTATAAGTGGATCACTACACAAGCTGAACTGTGACATAAATAGTATTCTGTTTCTTTTGTAGAGATCAAGAAATGTAGGTTTTGCCCTGCTAAAATCCCATACAGTCCCTTTCTACATCTCGGACCCCTCAATGTAAAGAAGAGACTGGAGAAATAGGGATGCAAACTAACAACAGCAACAATTAAGCAATGTATTTAGCATTTAATACTTACGTTTAAAATTTGGAAGGGGAATGAATAGGTCATGTGAAGAGTTTTATATGATCAACAGTTGCTGTTTTTGGTATCACACTATTCCTATAAAGATATACAGATCTTTATTCAACACCAAGGACTTCATTTTTATTTTGTGAATGATGCATGTGTGGCATGGATTGGATGGAAAGAAAGGCCATAAAAAGAACACTGTAAAAAAATGAATTTATTGGACAGTGGGAAGTAGGTTCCTCGGGCACTGAAAAACATTGCTGTTCCAACAGAATTAGGACAGTTTGAAGGTTATGATATTTGTCTGATTTTGTCACACACATGTACACATTTTTCTCAGCCTTCTGGCGTTAAACCATCATTGTTTATAGCCTTTAAAGCCAGGAGCCAGGCTTGGCCTTCCAGATGTTTTTAGACTGCATCTCCCATTATCTCTAACCAATAGCTGTGCTATCAGGGGTTGACAAAAGTTACAGTCCAACGACATGGTAAATGTTGGAAGCCAAGTCCTAATAGGAGTGATTTAGAGAGCTGGGTAGGTTAAGAGGCACATAAGTAAAGGTAAAGGTTTTTCCCTGATATGAAGTCCAGTCGTGTCTGACTCTGGGGTGTGGTGCTCATCTCCATTTCTAAGCTGCCGTTGTCCGTAGACACCTGCAAGGTCATGTGGCCAGCATAACTGCATGGAGCACTGTTACATAGCCATGTTTAAATATTTGAAAGTATGCCATATTGAGGACGCAGTGAGCTTGTTTTCTGCTGCCCTTGAGAATAGATATGGAGCAATGGATTCAAACTGCAGGAAAATATATCTCACCTAAACTTAAGGAAAAACTTCCTTATGGTAAGAGCAGTTTAACACTGAAATATGCTGCCCCAGAGTGAGTCACCTTCTCTAGAGGTTTCAAACGGAATATAAAAATGGCCATTTGTTGGGAGTGTTTGATGGTATATGGCAGTGTGTTGGACTGCATCACCCTTGCAATAGCCTCCAACTCTATGATTCTATGAACATCTAGAAGGACACGATCCTTTAGTGACTGTTGTGTCTCTCCCTGTTTGGCAATAGCATCCTGATGTTGTAGACTTGCTTTTTTAAAGCACTCAAATGTCTTACTCACCTGTCTTGGCAAGTCCATAATCTTGATTTTTTTATCTTTCACCTATTTGTGCTTTTTACTTTTCCTGTGGCCACTAATCAGAAGCATCAATAAAGATCTCTTCATAGTAGTTTTTCAAAGGCACTCGTTTTACTATCCATTAGGCATTAGGTTGCTTTTCCTCTGATGGCATTTGAAGGCCCTAGGCTTTTACAACTGGGTTTGATTCTCACTTGTATTCCTCTTTGACACCTTCTATGATGGTTAGATCAATTATTTATCTCAGGGATTTGACACCCGTGACCCTCCAAGTGTTGTTGGATTGCCGCGCCATTTAGCCCTAGCCAGCTGAAGTGAGGAATGATGGGAAGTGCGGTCCAGGAACATCTGGAGGACCATAATTACCTGTGATTTAAACAAGCCACTTTTGCAGAATAATTTTTGGTAATGATGAGTGTTATCATATGTGCCTCTATAAATAAGAAGTTACACTTCCTGGCTTAACCCCAGTTCAAGATTTTCCAGGATATGAAGAATTTGGCATGTGTTGGAACATTCACACCATCTGAGAAGGCAGTCTGTGGTAGCTTCCTTTTATAATTATCTCACAAACAAAGTGATCGTGTACGTTGATTTTTATACCTGTGCCAGTTACTACCACCTGCCTTGCCAACAACACTGAATGAATTAGCATGCTGTTTCCAACAGTGGCCAATCAGATACCTGTGGGAAACCCACAAGTGGGACATAGATTAAATGAGGGCAATAGCCCTCTCCTGGTGTTGTGCCCAACAGCTGGTATTCAGAGGCACAGTGCCTCTGATTCTGGAAGTAGTGCACCTCCAAAATTACTAGTAGCCATCCATTCATCCATCATGACTGAGAGCTTGCCAATTTCGCCTTTCCTATTGAATATCACTTCTCTCTTCCAGGTGCATGTCTCAGAATTTTTCCTATGTTCAGAAATATGAATTGAACAATCCTGGAGCTTTACCATAATAATCCATGTGACTCTTAACCTATTTTTGTTACCAAAGCTAGCATTTTAGAGAGATCATACTAATATTGTTTTCCTGTCCATTCTAGTTTTTCACAGAGATCTATCTATTCATATGCATGTACACATCCATAGCTCAAGAGTACAGTATCTCTGTATAAATCTATGAATGAATCTTACTAGAGTTTTAATCTGTGTAGATCAGCTGCCAAATGTCAGCCTGCTCCATACCTACTACTAAGACATACTTAATATTTGGCCATGTCAACTACTTAGTACTCACTACAGTTATTTTACCAAGATTCTCATAGAAAACAGATAATATAACCAATAGTTGACATTTGACTTCAGAGGCAGTAGCAGGACTGTCTCTTTCATACTTTTTATTCTGTTGTGACCTTCAGAAATCAACCAACTCTATGATGAGTGAAAAAATCAGACATTTCAACACCAATTTTGAGGAACTATTGTTCATGGGATGCCCTATCCTACCAACTGAGGAACAAGACATGAAAATGAGGTTTTCCTGCTGAATTTGTAGAGAAAGTGCATTGATTCAGCACTACATATTTGTAAAGCAGCATTAAACCTTTCCTCCCACCCCCTCACCCATTTTGAGTTTTCTGTACCAGTGAAATATTAGAAAGCTCCTTTGTTAAATGTTTTAAGAAGATTAAGATTGACCTTTTTAATATTGCTTTTAGCTCAGCTTATTTATAACCCTTTCAACATGCACAATACCTTTAGAGATTTGCACACGTGCCAGTTATGTATAAAATTATTTTGTATCATGATGCATCCTAAGATGCTTCATTTAGTGGGAAGAGGAGGGTGGGGGTGAATGTTTCTTCCCTGTGATCACCAAAAGGCAGCAATCCTCTGTGTACTTACTTAAGAGTTAATCCCTCAAATGCATGAGGTTTACTTTCAACTGAATGTGGTGAGTATTGGGCTGTGACTTTCTCAACTGTTTACATAGTGTGCTTGATATAGACTTGTCTTCTAAACAATTGATATAAAAGAGGTTGATATTCCTGCTGGAGTCTGAATGATAGTGCAGATCTCAACCTCCAAGCAGATATACTTGGGCAAATGTGGTGGGGGTCCAGGGCCCAATTTTCTGTCTTTAGGACTCACACTGCCCAAAAAGCCAGAGAAACAAAATAAACCAGGAAATGGCTATATATCTGGTTCTGCTTTTGGAGAAAAGAGGGATATTTTAAGCAGTGGAGGGGTTGAAACCTATTCGCAGCACAGACAATTCTCTCTTTTTTGCCAGAAGAGGTGTTCTGGGAAATTTGGGTGCCAGGAACCATGAAAACAACCTATGGACTTCATGTAACTTTTGGGCTTTACTTTGACCACCCCTGCAGAATTATTTAATATATACAGTTTGACTAGAAAAGTATACTTACCCCTCACTGAATTATAATTATTACTAATTATAATAATCAAATGTAGATAGTTATTTACCTGTTGTATGTTATATGTGCACCCTGGGGTGCCTTATAAACCACCCTGAATCCCCTCAGAGAGATGGTGGTGGGATATAAATAAAGTATATTATTATTATTATTATTATTATTATTATTATTATTATTATTTAGTTATGTGTAACCAGTTACTTCTAAGCATGGTTGTTTACTGTTGTGGAGTGACATTTATTCTTGTTTCATCCTCCTATTCTTGGAAAATAATTGAAGTCTGGGTATGTTCTGTTTGCCTTCTTTTTGTGTGTGTCAATCACATCTGCTTTGTCAACTTCCTTCATAAAATATAGTGCCCCAAACCAGATTGTTTGATCCCTTTGATATCATACCCAATGCAGAACCAGGTCTTAAATGAGATCCTATTTTCAACTAATGATCATGATGATTCAAATTTATGTATTGCTTTAGAGCCACAGTAAGGAGACCTGTGCCCATCCTGATATTATGAGATATAAAATTGGATATTTTGAAAGAGCTGGTGGAAATTTAAATGAATAAATACTGGATTTTTGAGATTTTACAGTAGCTAAAGGTTTGAAATCGTGTGGCCCACCATATGTTGTTGAACTGTAGTTCCTAGCAGCCTTAGCCAGCATAGTGAATGAGAAGTACTGCCAGGATTTGCATTTTATCAACTTCTGGGAGGCTGCACATTTCCCATTCTGTTATACTGGAAGGAAAGTGTAACTTTTGTTTTCAGAAGACAAGGATATCTAAAGAGTGTTATCTCTTGCAACATGTGAGTGGGAAAAGTGCCAACAAACTCCTCTACCTGGAAATTTGTATTACTGTTTTCAGAGAAGGTTAACGTTTAAGTAAGAGAGATAAAAATTGCAGCTCAAGAGCGTCTTGAAGTCTGACATTCTGTAATAGAATTGGAATATAATGTAACATTGTTCTGATGAAGCATAATATTGTGATAAATGTGATGTTCTCTATGAATAAATAGTCCAAAAGTCAAGGTACACTTTATTTTATTTCAAGGGAACATGATAAAGATCCAGAAAGTTTTTTTCAAGTGCTGCTGAAAATGAAAGAGATGAAATTACGTTTTCATGTGTCTGTCCTTGGCGAGACCTTCACGGATGTTCCAGGTATTGTTTTGTTGTTTCTTTAAATTCTCTACATTTGCAGATATAACAACAGCTAATGTTGTAATTAATGTTTTCAACTTCCAAAATGGGCAATAGCAATTAAATGGCACATGAATATAAATGTGTTGAAAAGCTAGGAACAAATATTTGGAGATGAGAATTTTAGAGTGCACTTCTGTAAGCCAGGAAAGACAACTGTGGCACTCCAAGTCTTGGACCCCAACTGCCAGCATGTTGCATTATGGATTTTTACTAAAGAAGTCTGATGGATCTTACATTCACAAAACAACTAGAGGGTTACAGTTGTCCATCCCTGTTTTACAGCTTTATCCAGAAATGTCTCTCAGTTTAATGGGGCTTACACGTAGGTCTCTAAGATTGTGTTCCCAATTTGTTATTAAAATAAGTTCCATACATGCAAAAGAAACAGGAAAAGCAAATAGCTGGTAGTCAATAGTCCCCAAATCACAGTGTTTGCCATCAGTTGCTGCTGTCTACACATCTTCCTCTCCTTCCTTTTTCCACTGTATCTTTGCTTCAGTGTCAAGCACCCAGTTGTATCCATTTGGAAGTATGTGTGACAACCCATCTCATGTCGACTGAATGATGATGTATTGACAAAGTGTGAAGTCTCATTCAGAATAAGAACATAGAATCTTGGTATTTCATTAAAGTTTAGATGATGGAGAAATCAATGGCAACAACAAAAAGATGAAACATCCATGTCCTGAAGCCCCAGATTTTTCAAATGAGGAGAAAGATTGAATGGTAAAACAGGACTTTACAACTTTTGCCTTCCTCTGTGATTCCAAGTAATCCCTCCACGATCCTACATGATAAAGCCCTAAAATCTGGATCCAAATATCTGCCTTATTGTTTAATATTCCTCTGTCAAGCTGATGCCTGTGTCTGTGCAACCTAGTGAATGAGCCAATTTCCAGGATACAGCTTGAAGAAATTAATTGTAATACTGAAGGAATAGGTAATAAAGTCATCTATGTATGCAAAGACTTTTGTGAATTGGCTGTTGTCACCAAAGTACCTGAATTGATCCACAATCATTGTTTCAAATAATACTTGTACTTCAGTATGATGCACACACTTCAGTTTCAGGTGAAATGGTGAAGTATGTTTTTGGTTTTTTCTTCATTTGTGTTTTGATAACTTCTTCCAATAAATTATGTGTGTGGAAAAATCAGGAAACAAGTGTGTCCCATTTCAGCTGAGAATTTTACATGCATGTATTTTATTGTTAGATTGTCATACACATATACAGAAAAGTATTGTTAAATGTTTTAGGATCTCAGTGTGTCCATTCTACCAAGACCATTGTTTATCTAACTATGTTTTGACCAGTTTTGAAGGCATTACAGCCAGCGTCCCTGCTTAGTAGGCTCACAAATAATAATGATATTCTAATTCATTGGTCTGTTACTAATGATGGACCAGGGGGAAAAACATTGTGGAAGTTATTTTCCATAAAACGTCATTTACTTTGTACTTACAAAATAGATCTAAGTATTCTTGAGCTAGAAATATAAAGGCTTTCTTTCAAACACTGCTTTGCTGAAAGTCTATACCAACTTTTATACTATGAGTTAAGAGTCTGTTATATTTACAATATCATTAAATTAGTTCAGTTTAATGTTCTAACCATTTGTTTATTGCAGCAAGGGACTTATAACATATTAATCTACTTAGTGAAAAATGCATTTAATGTAGCTGCAAAGGTTCTCTAGGTGGTCATAAGATCCAATACTATAGCTACAGCTTTGATTAGAAGAGTCCTAGGATTTTAGAAGACAACAAAAGCTCAGTCCAGCCCCTGACTGCATGTTGATATGTGGGATTAACAGCCCCATAATATGGAGGGGCAGCTCATAAAGATGCATATCTAAATGTGTGATTCGTGAAGCAAGGTAAGGTCCAACTTATTTCCAAGGAAAATTTTGCTCTCAGAAGTCTGCTTCCATCTGAGGATGCATGGTGAGCCATAAAGCTTAGGCAGAAAGGGAAAGCCAAGTAATAGACTCTGTGCCTTTCCAGAATTTGGGGGGAAGGGGGTGACTTCAACTCCCACATGTCCTTGCTTTTGTAACCTACAGAGCTTTGGGGATTGTAGCTCAGGAACATCTGAGTTTGCTCTTTTTCGAGAGGAAACACATCACATTGTATCTATCCCCAGCATTTTTATTAGTTCTAGGAAAAATGTATCTGAAGCAGCATAGTTGGCCAAGATGGAGAATCTTTGGACTATCAGATGTTTGAGACTGCACCTTCCAGACATCCTAGCAAGGAAGGCTAATGGCAATGACTTGGGAAAATTGTAGCCTAAAACATCCAAGTGACTAAATCTTCCTTACCCCTGACTGTATTGAACTACCAAAGATTCCTTGATATGACACTAGATCCTGTATAGACATTTTCTTATCCTCCACTAGCTCAAATCTCCAATGCAGAAGTAAGAATGATTCTGCCCTCCAATTCACAGCATCCAAAGTTGGGCAGCCAGTTGATGGGGAATGCTGGAAACAATTGTTCAGCACATTCTGGGCGATTGCATGATTCCCTCCCTTGATCTTGTGGATGCATCCTCTGGAAGTAGGCTGGTAAAATCCATAAAAACTTAAGCCAAAGGAAACATATTAGGCTAAAAGATGCTAATCAAGGTGGTCAGTTGAAACATCCACACCTAGCTCCAGCAGACAAGAGTCCTTTGTCTCACCCTAGTCATTCCACAGATATATAAACCCCTTTTTCCTAGATCCAACAGACCTCACTACTTCTGAGGATGCTTGCCATAGATGCAGGCGAAACGTCAGGAGAAAAGCCTCTAGAACATGGCCATATAGCCCGAAAATCCTACAACAATCCAACAATAACCATGTGAAACTCCAATGAAGATTTCTTATTTTAAAGTTAACTGTTCAGGCCTCTTTCACTTTAGGTTTGTACACACACAACTATAATGAAATATCTTTCCTGCATGCCTATTGGCTCTTTATTTTCAAGGACTAACATGGGTTTATGATTGCGACATATAACCATTTCATTGGTTTTCACACAGATTCTTATCTAGGTGTCTTTTGTGCTTAGGGTTTTTGTAATATGCAGAGCATGATAAATATGAAACTTCTACAAATGATAGGTTAACAGTTTTATTCCTCCCTCCTCCCTCATGATAGCTTCCCTTTAACAGCAAGGTGTGGAAAATATGCTTTACATAAATAAAAATAGCCCATACAGGGATTCAGGATTAATTTGCCTTCCTAGTTTGCCCTATCAATGGGAGTTTCAGAATCCTCTTTGTTACTTTATACGAATGATAAGAATTTACCAAGAGATCCTAAGCCAAATTTAACAAAAGTTTAAATTGCTAATCATATATGTACGCAATCTCACTTAATATTTTTACAGCGAATGTACGTATCAGCATGGTATTGGTAGAATTGGGAGTTGCAGAGAGACCTACGATATAGAGCTCTTTGCTTAGCTTAGGCCCCTTCTACACTGTTCTATATCCCAGGAGGTAAGGGCAAAATATTACAGCTATAATCTATCCCTGCAGGGGTGGAGGACCTATTAAAATGCTCCACCCTCAAAGGTTAATGGATTGTTTGAGATTCCAAGAGGCCTTAGAAATTTTCATGGCTGCCCTCCAAAGAGAAGAACAACAACTACATGGCGGAAAAATAAACTTTTATGCAACAAGAGATGGTATAGAGGTCACCTTTGCTCCTTTAGGGATCATTATTTCCCTGCAGCTCCAAGGCCATTTCTGTTCGCTCCCACATTGGTTGAGTGAACTCGCCAGTGGGGATTCCTGTTCCTGGCCTTCACCAAAAGGGGTGCCTTCAGTGCACACCGAGATGTACATTGTGTCCCCATATTCTGCATGACAGCCTATTTAATGGCTCCACCTAATTACCCATTAACCTCAACAGTGTATGGTATGTGAAAAAAAACCCTGTTAAAGGGAGGGAAAATTCCTAGCTACCCCTTGGTACACTGCTGTAGGGTGCCGGATTGGGACAATGGGGACTCATATAATCCAGTTCAAAGCAGATAATCTGGAATCAGATCCTAGGATATAGGGCAGTATAGATCCAGCCTAAGTTTATGAAAACATTTACTCTTGTGGAGATTCCAAGCCTCTATCTTTGATAGAATATTGAAAATAACTGAAAGATTAGCATCTCCTCCTTTATCCCAACTGGACATTGATTTGGGGTGGGGTGGGGTAAAGAACTTTCTTATGTTTGTCACTTGTAACATAACATCTTAGTTATGTTAAAGTAATATTGCCTTTTAATTCTTAAATAAAATGGCTTGAAAATGCTTTACTGTTTAAGTTTTGCACATGAGTTTATGACTTGGCATTTTATATGGTTTTAATCTGTTTAATTGATTGATAAGTGATTTAATTGTTTGTATTTTTAGATTGTTTGTTTTGATGAGATGTGTTTATTGTGTGGCATTGGATTTTGCTGATTTGTAAGCCACCTTGAGTCCCCTCTGGGGTGGAGAAAAGCAGGGTAGAAATGAAGCAAATAAATAAATAAATAATTTTGGGCCCTGTGACACAAAAATAGCACAACCCAGAACCCCATTAATTCTTCCGGTGCAGCCCTTTTGCTTCAACAGATATATCCTGAGAAATAACAGAATGGCTCTTAAAATATGGGGAGAAAACTTCTGACCATCTCTCAAGGCAGCACTCCCTTTTCCATGAGCAACATGTAAAAACAATTCTCAGTAGGTCATACAAACCCTAAACAAATTCTCAACCCAATATGATTGCATTTTTCTTATAAAGCCAACCATGTTGCTTCCCTTTCCCCCCAGATTTCCTAAACATAACAATGATTTTTGCATCAAATTAGTTTTAATCACTGTCATCCTCCTACATGACAGCGGCATACCCAAGGTAGGAGAAATTCATTGTAACTCAGCTCCATGGGGCACATTCAGCCAAGTTGAAACAACTATTGCACAGCTCTATTCCTGGGATCTTACTAGCCCCCAATTTTATATGAATTTTGAATGCTTTCAGGCATGAGTGCATTCCAGTTCTCGTCCTACCAACCAGTGTGATCCGTGTTGAGCTTATAAAAACGTATACAATAAGACTCTATTAAAAATGGCTACCAACTTCACAAAGTTTATACAGTCAACCCCATATTTAAATGACCACCAATTTTCACAAATGTATTCAATAATACCCTATTAAAACGACCTTTACTCCACCCCAAGTGCCCCAAATGGGAGGAAGTGCAGAGCTCATTGAAGCAGAGTTTTTGTTTTGTCATCTCTTTCCAGCATTGGCCCATGGATGTCAACCCAGTTTTTTTGGTTGACTTTATTTCATTTTTTTCTACTTATATACCCGACTATATATTTCACTACTTTGAATGAATGAAACTTTCTGGGAGTTCTCTGAGAGATGCCCTAACATACGTGTTGGGCTAAATCTGAATTTTGCCAAGAAAAGTTCACTCATTAGTACCTCTTTCAACTGGCCTTCTGCCGAAATGTAGTGGAAGTAACCAGATTTGTCTGAGCACCCTGGGGAGATAGGTGCTCCCTCTCAAGGTTAATTACTCATGAAGTTACTCTCAATATTAATTACTAATGAG